TCCCAAACAACATTTTTCCCCTTTTGACATAAGCAGATTACTACTAAGTTGAACAGGATCAGCCTAGTAAAGCAACATTTACAGTAACATTTGTGTTGAGATAGTATAACTACTGCTTCCAGCGATATTTATTCCTGCAACTCCAAACATTTTTTGCAAAAATCATTAATAATAATGTGAATGCATAACTTGTGTGATTTCTATATTTCACTATCTGTATTCAATTATTGTTTAATAAAATGTGTTTCAAAATGTTACATTTAAAAGTCTTTTAGAGATAATGTATTTAAAAAGGGATACATATACATGAAAAAAAAAAAAAAGTAAAATCAGACTATTCAACTGAGCCATCTCAGACTGGGCTGTAGCACTTGCTGCACACACAAGAATTGAGGTTAAGATAGTTTCTGGAAGGGCAAGATTGGAGACTCCCTTGCTGGCTTCTGCTTCCGCTGATGAGCCAGAGAGCTGGGACTGGGGGTCGGGTAGTCAGGGAGTGGGACTGGCTTGGCTGGCTACCATATTCATTGGCAAACACAACAGCCTGAATGGGTGCAGGTCAACTGAGCTAGGACACAGCCCAGCTGATAAGTTTCAGGATAAAGTGTGAGGATCTCATGCAGGATTCCAGGAGCCCCTGGCAGATCAAGATCTGGTGCTAGGAACATGCCTGACAGAGAAACTGTGGGTTCTTCTCTGCTTGGCTGTAACTCTTAATCTGCTACAGCACACATTAGTTCCTGTGCTAATTGGGGTTGGGCATGGGTATGTCCATTAGCTGGTGCAGGTGATGGACTGAATTTGACCCTGCCATGTCTAATGCATACAAAGTCAAGTCTGAGGTCACACCAAGTGAGATTTTTTTTTTTTTTTTTTTTTTGCAAATCCCCAACTAGATCATGAGATGCTAACTCTAGAGCACAGGTGTTGATAACTAATTTGATTTATTGCCAAACTAAAGGAAAGGCACTGTCAAAGAAGAAATGTTTTACTCTGTGTAATATAATTTAAAGAAGATTATCTAAAAGATAAAGCGACTGGGAGAGTTAGAGAGAAGGAGTCAGAGAGAGGAAGAGATCATCCATCAGCAGGCTCAGTCCCAATGGGCGATGATAGCCAGGGCTGGGCCTCCATGAAGCCAGGAGCTCAATCCTGGTCTCCCAACTGGGTGACAGGATTCCACACCCATCTGCAGCATCCCCAGATGCATGATCCAAGAGTGGAGGAGTGGAGCATCTGAGACTCAGACAGTTACTTCCTGTTGGTTGGTTTGGTTGGACTTTTTGTTTTGTCTCGTGCTGCAGCTATCAGATTCCTTAACTTATGCAGCAGAGTAAATGGTGCTTCGGCAAGTAGCAGTAAACTTCCAGGCTGCCACCCAATACAGCATTGGCCACAGGTGGGCACACATGTGTTACTATGTGCACTCGGAGCAGAGCTGGCTAGTGATGGCAGTGAGCATGGCCACAACCTTTCAGATTTGCTTCTTGATGGAGTTCATGTGCCCTATTACCAACCAGATCTCCCACTAAGCCTGGGTGCATGAGGCCCCCTGGGGACTCAAATGAGGCAGATAAAGCACCTTGCAATGGATAAGTTTAGGCCTGAGCCAGGAGATAGGACTCAGCCCTGTTCTCCCATGGGCTGAAACAGCAACTTGAGCCATCATGGCTGTCTGTCAAGGTGTTATACCCGAATATTTTGAATCTTATTAAGTACAGTGTCTTCTGAAAGTTGTTGCAAACTACCGTTATATTCAAGTGTACCACATTCCAGGAATCTCATGGGAAGAATTAGAAGAGAAGGTTTGTTGTAACATATTTTCCCACCAGGAGTGAGAAGAATTCTCAGAACCCGAATGAAGAAACAAGTATTTTCACAAAAGTTCTATCCCAGCACTGAGGAGATCAACGTTGCATCAAGTGAGTTGAACAAATGGATGGGGATGTTCTTGAGATTATTTTTTAAATTTCATTTCTTAAATTTCTACAGATAAAAAGAAAACAGGTTATAGGACTTTTATAAATAAAATTTGAAGCAATTAGTCATACCTCCCTGCTTCAATATCTCCTTTGTTCCTTTCCTTATACAACTTTATGCAGTAATGCAGTTTTAAAATTTTAATCATAGTCTTAATGTCAAGTAAAAATCAGAGTGACTACTGCTGTACAGGAGTATACACAAGGGTTAATACAATAACCAAGTCTCAAGACGTCAGGTCCAAACTTACATATCACATTTTTATCTGTGCGTTATGTATAAACTATCATATATAAGAAAAGGCATAAAATATGTGTTTTTTTGTGTTCTGGTTGGAATAAAAAATCAAAACGTTGTACTATAGTGATTCTTTTTTATTTATTGATTACATTGCATTACATAACACAGTTTAATAGGCACTGGGATTCCCCTAACCCCTCCCCGAAACCCACCCCTCATGGTGGATTCTTTCAGCTTGTTGCATTACCACAGTTCAAATTCAGTTGAGATTTGTTCATTGCAAGCATCTACCAAGCATAAAGTCCAGCATCTTATTTTCCAGATAAGTTCAATGGTTTCTTGGGGAGACCATCTCTGGTCTGAAGGTAGAGCTGACAGAGTATCATCCCAATCAATTAAAAGCCCTGACATTACATCAGTAACAATTTATAATGTCGTGGAATTAGTTGACATGGTATTGTGTAACCAACATGTTAAACGAGAGAGAGAGAGAGAGAGAGAGAGAGAGAGAGAGAGAGAGAGAAAGGGTGCAAGTTCTGAACCACATCCTATGACTTCTACATTGACATTACAATGATTAGTTTATATACAACTGGGTTCTCTACACCTTCAAATGGCTATAGATTACTATTCAGCTGTCTCATATCTATTTTAATTTTAGTATTTGGCAGTTTATAGAGTTGAAGCATGATTTTGCTGAATCTGGCTGTTTTATGGGTAGTCTAACTCAATAACTCTAATAAGACATATGTCAACAGTTTAAGTGAACAGTTTTAGGAAGGGTGTGCAGAGAAATCTTCAATACCCTAGTGAGGAGTACCTAATCTTCGTGTCCCACCCAGTGAGTTATAACTTATAAGTTCATCCCCACTGCCTGTTTCCTGTTTCTAAGCTTTCCTTGCTGTTCTCTATCTATTCTAGTTTTTTTTTTTTTTTGCTTGTTTATTCGTTTATTTGTTAGTTTATTTTGAGGGGTTTCTGGAGTGATCCTGATGGTTGTTACGAGGATGGGGAACCAAAGTCAGAGCCAGGCAAGAACCAGAGAAAGCTCCTCTCTCTAGTCCCAAAGGAAGTTTACTGTTCTGTTTCTGCAGACTGCTCAGGGCTCCTAGTTTTCATTCCAATGACCTTGGATCCTGCAAGGCAGGGTTTGGGCTTCTTCCATCCCATGTGGGAGATCCAAATGGAGGTGGGTAATCTCAGAGTTCTCGGCCTCCAAAGGCACTCCAATTCCCTGTGGTCTCCTTCGCAGTTGGGATGTGGTACTCGGAGCTCCAAGGAACAGTGGTTAAAGAAACTGTGGTATATCTACTCCATCAAATATTATTCAGCTATTAAAAAGAATGAAATTATTCTATTTACAACCAGGTGATCCCAACTAGAAACCATAACGCTGAGTGAAATGAGTCAATCACAAAAGAACAAATATCATGTATTCTCTCTCATATAAGGAAGCCAACATGGAAAGTGTAACTCCAACAGTCCAATCTATCCTGTTTTTTTTTTTTTTTGATTGTCTGTTTTTTTGGCTGTATCCCATGTGTTTTGATGTTTTTATTTCAGTTTGGGTGCTTCCAAATAATCTCTATTTACTAATTGAATTCATCACTTGCTCATGAAGTATATGATGGCATCATTTTTCACAAGAGACTTCTGTCTTTCCTTTTTGTCATGCATGTATAGTGATTCTTAAATGTATGTTATCTAAAAAATGATCTCCTAAGCTATAAAGGAGAACATTGACTAGAGTCATAAGATGTTATTTGATAAGAAACTATATCATGGGGCCCGGCACAGTGGCACAAATGGTTAAGGTCCTCGCCTTACACGCCTGGGATCCCATATGGGCGCCAGTTCTATCCCAGCAACCCCGTTTCCCTTCCAGCTCCCTGCCTGTGGCCCTGGAAAGCAGTCGAGGACGGCCCAAAGCCTTGGGCCCCTACACCCGCTTGGGAGACCCAGAGGAGGCTCCTGGCTTCGGATCTGCATAGCCTCTGCCCGTTGCGCTCACTTGGGGGTTGAATCATTGGATGGAAGATCTTCCTCTCTGTCTCTCCTCTCTGTATATCCGCCTTTCCAATAAAAAAATAATAAAAATAAATCTTTTAAAAAAAAAGAAACTATATCATGAGAAATGTGGACACTCCAATTACACAATTATCCTCGTGCACTTCACAGAATATGCGTAAGACTATGCTATCAAAGATTCCCATCAACAGAGCATGTGGTACACATAAATGGAATAACACGTAGCCATCAAAAGAATGAAATCTTATTTTTCTGCATTAAATTTGGTGCAAATGGATATCAGTATGCAAACCAAAAAAGGTCATTCCAAAAGCAAATAGATGTGGTAGTTCAATAGAATTTAAAAATACATGAATGCATTATAAAAATATGTAGTCACTCTAAAAGATACATTTGGAGTTAAAAGTCATATAGCACATAAACTACCCTCATTGACTCACATTTTGCATGAAATTTTCGAGTCCACTTGATTTTCTGAAGCAATATTTACAATAAAGATGGGAAAAAGGAAAAATCAGAAAGAAAGTGTTGACACACCAGATAAAAAGCATTGCAATGCATGGGTCATTCATTTGTAGTGTACCCAGAGGAATGAATAATAGTAATAATAATAACAACAACAACAATAGAAACAAAACAGAGAACAGAATATCAAGCTCTGCTTCCTCCTCTGATAAATTCATCACAATATCTAACATTGAGGCTTGAAACATGAAGTCAGTGACACTGCTCAGCCCCAATACAGTTGGTTTCTATATTTTATGGAACATCATTCTTTTCAGAGCTCTCTTCATATCTGTGTTCCTCAGGCTGTAGATGAAGGGGTTCAGCATGGGGGTGACAATTGTGTACATCACCGAGGCAGCTGCAGTTGAGGCTGAACTTGGGGCGGCACTGGCACTGAGGTATACTCCTATGAAGGTGCCATAAAATAGGGAGACAATGAAGAGATGAGAGGTACAGGTGGAAAAGGCTTTATACTTGCCCTGACCTGATGAGATGGCACGAATGGAGGAGAAAATCTTAGAGTAAGAGTATAGGATCCCAGACAGGGGACCACCTGCCAGCAGCACAGCTGTAAAGTTCATCATGCCGTCATTGAGAAAGGTGTCAGAACAGGCTCTGTGGACCTCCTGATTCAACTCACAAAAAAAGTGTTGGATTTCCACATGTGTGCAGAAGTTCAGCCTCAGGATCAGAAAGCTCTGAATAATGGCATTCAGAACACTAATGACCCAGCACAGCTGAACCAGCTGCGCACAGAGCTGGGATTTCATGATGACCGTGTAGTGCAGGGGGTGAATGATGGCCACAAATCGGTCATAGGCCATCACGGTCAGAAGAAAGTCATCCAGGCCTCCAAATAGCAGAAAGAAGAACATCTGTGTGATGCAACCTGCATAGCTGATGGATTTGCTCTGTGTCTTGATGTTCACCAGCATCTTGGGGACAGTGGTGGAGGTGAAGTCTATATCTCTTAATGACAGCTTAGCTAGGAAAAAGTACATTGGCTTGTGGAGGTTGGTGTCAGAGAGGATGGCCAGGACAATGAGCAGGTTCCGACTTACAGTGACCAGGTACATGGAGAGGAAGAGCCCAAAGATGAGAGGCTGCAGTGCTGGGTCCTCTGAGAATCCCAGGAGAAGGAATTCTGAAAGCTCAGTTTGGTTTCTCACTTTCATGCATTTGAGATCACTATCAGGAAGATGCGATTGAACCTGAAGCATATTTATACAAAAAGAATGTAAATATCAAAGTGCAAATCCAAAATGCATACGTTCCCGTTCGGAATGTAGCTCCTACATTTGGAGATAGCTCAGGTCCCCTTTAGCTGCTTCCCAGTAAAATCAATGACCAAGGATTTCTTTCCACTCTCAGGCCTTCCCTAAAAGATCAAACACATCTTGTATTTAATAACATATTTTTGACCCCTTCTATTCATCAGTGTTTACCAACTTACTATACATTTTCCAAATAAATGCATGAACAAATAAGCATATTTTTTGTAGATTTTAATTGCAGTGGATTTTGCAACTCAGGATGAGTTTGTGGTTTGACGACAGAAAAATGCAATCTTTCATAATTTCTCTTAAACTTTACTAAGAATGTACATCAAAATGTCTTAAAATCCAACTAACAGATGCACTCATGTTTGTATATATGTTTTGCAAAATAGTCATTTAAATTTTGATTACCTCTTACAAGTATGGTTTAAAATACTTTTGCTCCAGATGTTTTGGACCGTAACAAACTTACCTTTAAATACACATTCTTTTTTAGCATTGAAGAACACTCCAAGTATATATCAAAGAACTCAATTGCAGAAAAAAAGCTGTCAAAAACAGCCAATCTTTGTACATAAAATAATAATAAAGACAGGAATAAAACTCTCTCACGTGAAAGCACATCAGGAAATTGAAATTGCAGGAAAAAGTGAAAATGCAAGTGACTGGAAAGCCTTGAGTATATCCAGCAAACTGATGATGCAATATTTGTGAAGCAGGTGTCTTTGATAGAGCCTGTCTTACTGTATCTTTATCATTGAGTCATCTGAGCTACAATGTGAGAGTAGAGAGAGGACTGTAAGATGTGTGTGTTTCAGTAGCTGCTCCTGTTAGTATTTCCACGCAGATGTTTCTCCCTACCAGGGCCTTTTCTTTCAGTACAGGTACAGTCAGTCATAAAGCAAAGAAGGAGAGTTTTAACACAGTTTGAAGAAGCTGTTCCAGGGCCAGGGGGTTGTCATTTTCCCTCCTTAATTAGTTTTGAATGGGGAACAACCAATCTCTCTCTCCCTGGAAAACGAATAAGACCTCCCTGCACTACACATCAGTCCACTAAGAAAATTGCTTCTCCTTTCCCCCAGGGGAAAGTTGCTGCAAAGTTGGCTCCAAGTACTCTGGGCAGTTGAATCCTCTCATTATCTCTGTGAGATGATCCTTTTTTGCCCTGATTTCTTCATTAACACTGACCATTGCCCTAGGACATCCAACATTTTTTGCCCTTTGATAATCACTAACATTTGTATTCAGTAGTTAATTACATGATCAAGAACCCCAGAGCGATCTGGTGTTTTAGCTCAGCTCCTGGGTGACTCTGTGGCCATGGCCTGAGACCACTTCTGCTGTGTTCAGATTCACCTGCTTAGGAATGGTGGATGGTGGATGCTGGAGACTGAAGCTTGGTCCCAGATGAGGCAGAAGAAGGGAAGCTCTGGTCCCTGAGCCAGACTCAGATCCCAAATGCAAAAATCAGGCTGCTTCTCCCAAGGCAACAAGCAGGCTGCTTCTAAACCAAGGTTGCACAGTCTGAGAGAACACAGCAAAGGAGCTATTTATGGCTCCTGGCACCTGCTCATTAGGCAGTTCCCCAACCTCTAAGCACCTGCTGGACCCGAGTGTCTATTGCCATGAAAGAACGCTGTTTTCTTGCGGATGTTTCCCAAGAGATGATGATGGACTCAGATGAATCCTCTTTCTGTTTCTCCTCCTCTGAGGCAATCTTAAATAACTGCCAATTTAGCTCCTCACTTTAAAATGTTTTGCTCAGTGAGACAAGCCAGTTCCCCTAAGACAATTATCATGTGTTTCCCATAATATGTCATAGTTAACAATAAATGCAAAACTTATGTAGAAATGGAAAGAGTATCTTGAAATTTGATTATTGTTTCTACTCCTGAGAAATTGTGATTTCTTTAATGTTTTACTTGTTGAATATCATGGTTAGTTGTACCCTGTGCTTGTGGCTACTGGTAAATTCTTATACCATCCAATTATTTTATTTAAAAATATTACATTTCCTTTTATTTGTAATTATTTTATGAAAAATTAAACGATGTTCTTATTAGACCCTGAGAAGTATATTGCCTCAGATTTCTTTTTTTTTTTTTATTGTTGCTTACATTATATTATGTAGTACAGTTTTATAGGCGCTGGGGATCCCCCCCACCCCTCCCATACCCCTCCCCCCATGGTGGATTCCTCCACCTTGTTGCATAACCATAGTTCAAGTTCAGTTGAGATTCATTGCTTGCAAACACCTGCCTAGCATAAAGTTCAGCGTCTTATTGTCCAGATAAGTTCAGTGGCCTCTTGGGGTTCCACATATGCTTACCTGATGGGCTTATTTGTGCTACTGCTTAACAAGTAGATTGCACTGAAATATGATAGGGAGAGTATAAAAGGATCAGTGATTAAATAAAATGTCATCTCGAATATTTGATCAACCAGTTTCAGAAAGTCTAACCATTTCTCGTGGATTTCCTTAATTAGGTATCACACTTCTGAATTTCCTTTTTTTCTAACTAAATAACGCTCAGAATTTTAAATTTATTCTAGGCGCCAAATGTAACTCAAACCATGAAAAAGGTCAAGTGGCAATCAAAGAATATCGATACACACCCAGCAGTGTTCAAATTCCAATGTTGTACAAAGTTTTGCCTTCTGTTTTATATTTGTTGTCATAGATTTGCTATTTGTGCTCCTGTGTTGATTTTGTTTCATGACTTTTCATTTAGAGAAAAGCACAATAGCTGTGTATTAGAGACTATCATACTGAGATATGAAGCTGCAATGTAACATGCATCTCTACTTCCAAATGAAAGATGGACTCCCTATGGAACTGTTAAATGTGTCTTGAAAATAGGATGCTGGTGCTAAATATAAAAATGAAAATAGGCACAAGACAGTTGAATAGTACCCTGTAACCATTTTAAACATTTGAAAGCATGACAGACAGAAGGAGAGAGTGAGTGCCTCCATCCACTCCAATACCCATGTCTGGCCAGGCTAAAACCAGGAAAAAGGGACTCCAACTGGGTCTCCCATGTGCATCACAGGGATCTAAACCCCAGGGTCAGCTTCTGTTACTTTTTCAGCATCCAGAAACTCCATCTGGGTCTCCTTTGTGGAGGGCAGACACCTAAGCACTGGAAGCAACTTCTGCTGCCTTCCCAGGAGTCAGGAACTCCATCTGGGTCTCCCATGGAGATGAGGACAGGGGTCAGCTTCTGCTGCCTTCCCAGGTGCATGCCTTGAGCTAGATCTGTCGCAGAGCTGTGATAAGAGACGCCAGCCTTGTCAGAGGTGCTTAGCTTGTTACAGAGACAACAGTTCAAGTCTCTGACTCTTGTGATCCTATTTAACAGTATGTGCAGTGTGGACCCACTCGATGTTTTTTGCAGCTAGAGAGATACCTGTACCAGAACTTATGAAACCTTTCTAACTTTGCTATCCAAATTGTACCACTATTTTGTTATGGAATTAATATTGTCTATACTCTGCTTTAGTCTCTTCATTTTATGTTTGCTGTCATGAACCTCACCTCATGTGAGGTAATATCCATGATGTAAAGAAAGTCTGTTATATATGCATAGAATATCTACATAGGAAGGGAATATTATATATTTGAAAATCTGTTGAATTTCCAAATATTTTAAATTAATAATTTTAAACAAATAAAACTTGTAAGGAATTAAAAACAAATACACATATTATTTAAATGTCAATTATTATTTAAGACAATCAATTATGACCTTGAATCTGCTCTATGCCAGAATATTCCATGCCATATTTTGTGATCACATAGTCACTGATTTATGAATCTATGTTTATGTTATACTGTTGCTAGGCAATTCATGCAGGAGACTTTCTTTTGTTTAAAACATTTTTGGAGGATCTTACTGATTTGATTTCTTCTCCTGTTCTTGCCATTTCCTTACTTCAAATCTGTTTCTGTGTTATGTAGTCCTGTTCCCTGGACCATGTCATGATTGATAGAGAAATAAAGCAAATAAGGCGACTGCTCATTAGCCCTTGCATGAACAAAGGAAAGACATCACATACCTAAAGAAATGGCTGTAACATAATGTGTTGAGGGACACATCATATGGAGAATGTTATTTCTTGTAAAATCAAGAAACGGCTACTTCTGTAAATACGTGTGCATAACAGACTGTGTGTAGGTTGGGCAAAGATGAGAACTAGGATGAGAGAATGCTCAATGGGTTTATGAGACAAGAGAGAGACTCAGAATAATGGAATAATAAATATGTGTTTCAAAGGGAAAATGAAGGCCTTCCCTTATTAGACATCAAAGAAACCAACTATCAAATAATAAGCTATAGATATAGGAAAATAATTTTGGTTGACACACACACACACACACACAAAAACAGAAGCCAAATTATGATGGTCTTTGTGTGCTGACTTTGGTGAATGGCTGGTTTATTCTCTTTGCTCATTAGCTCATGCAGTAGCATTTAATCTGCATGTTTCTTAATGCCTTGAGGATATCATCACTTGAAAATCAACCTGCTGTTTCTTTCTTTCTTTTTTTTTTTTTTTCATGCTGGATATCAAGAAGATATAATTGGACCAGGCAAGTTGCCAAAACCAGTGAAAGTTCTAATGTTCTTTCTTTTTTTTTTTTTAAATGAAAAGACAAGTTTATTTTATACAAACATTCTTAGAAGTCTATGCATATTTTTACTGTATTCATTTTCACGAGCTTTTTGGAGACCCTCATATATGCAGGTTGCAGAAGTTTTTTTCACCCACACACAAATTTATCTTTTTTTTTTCTCTGTGTTGATGTGCATAGTTTCTTTTTTTTTATTGTTGCTTACATTGTATTATGTAGTACAGTTTTATAGGCACTGGGGATTCCCCCCACCCCTCCCATA